CAACATCTTTATCAACGACTTGGATGATGGACTCAAGGGCATCCTGATCAAATTTGCAGATGACACCAAACTGGGAGGGGTGGCTAACACCCCAGAGGACAGGATCACACTTCAAAACGACCTTGACAGATTAGAGAACTGGGCCAAAACAAACAAGATGAATTTTAACAGGGAGAAATGTAAAGTATTGCACTTGGGCAAAAAAATGAGAGGCACAAATACAAGATGGGTGACACCTGGCTTGAGAGCAGTACATGTGAAAAGGATCTAGGAGTCTTGGTTGACCACAAACTGGACATGAGCCAACAGTGTGACGCGGCAGCTAAAAAGCCAATGCAATTCTGGGCTGCATCAATAGGAGTATAGCATCTAGATCAAGGGAAGTAATAGTGCCACTGTATTCTGCTCTGGTCAGACCTCACCTGGAGTACTGTGTCCAGTTCTGGGCACCACACTTCAAGAAGGACACTGACCAACTGGAACGTGTCCAGAGGAGGGCAACCAAAATGGTCAAAGGCCTGGAAATGATGCCTTATGAGGAACGGCTAAGGGAGCTGGGCATGTTTAGCCTGGAGAAGAGGAGGTTAAGGGGTGATATGATAGCCATGGTCAAATATATAAAAGGATGTCACATAGAGGAGGGGGAAAGGTTGTTTTCTGCTGCTCCAGAAGAACGGACACGGAGCAATGGATCCAAACTACAAGAAAGAAGATTCCACCTAAACATTAGGAAGAACTTCCTGACAGTAAGAGCTGTTCGACAGTGGAATTTGCTGCCAAGGAGTGTGGTGGAGTCTCCTTCTTTGGAGGTCTTTAAGCAGAGGCTTGACAACCATAAGTCAGGAGTGCTCTGATGGTGTTTCCTGCTTGGCAGGGGGTTGGACTCAATGGCCCTTGTGGTCTCTTCCAACTCTACGATTCTATGATTCTATAGGTGTTGAAACCACATGAATGGAAAGTGAATCTAGCCGTCAGAATGACCTGCATCAACTCAAATGCCAATATAGCTCCTGCTCCCTCCACCCCCTACCCACCGTGAAGACAGCTGAAACCTGCTTCTGACTTTTGCTTAATATTATAGGCTTTACTGAAGAGTTGCAAAGATACTTTGTCAGGCAGAAATAAAGCTATATATGATTTTGCTTCACAGCCAATGGTTCAATGGGTGCTTTTTATTTGTCCAACGAATTCCAATTTGACTTCCTGTTTTGCCTGCCACGTTGTCTGCGCACAGACAAAAGAGATCCAATGCTGGGAGAGCGCGGGTTCATTGCCAAAGAAAGATTAGGCCATGGGCTTGTAGAACATGGAGAAAACACTACATTATTTGTCATGGCTGAGCACAACAAGCAGAGATTATCAGAAGGTTCAGGGTTTAAAATGTGGCAGATGGATGCAGGCTAGCAGCCGCCAGGAACAAAGAGGCTGCTTTGACAGAAAAGGTGTGTGCAGCTTTTGGAAAGAAAATTCATCTGTCAGCTGGAAATGGCGGTGCTAATCTTATTTACATTTTTCATATGAGTAACATGAATCTCTCATGCTCACAGTCTCCAAACCCTTTGCTAGTAATGCTTTTTCTCCTTAAGCTAGCCCAAGTTTCTTTGTCTCTCTCTAAATTGCAGAAAATTTCTTAGAACTTCTCAGATGCCCTTGAAAATGCATCTTGTGTGCACGTAGAGCTGGTGTATATGACTGTTGCAAAATCTGATGCTTAAAAACACACACCCTGTCCTCTTGTCTGTTTAACTCCAGTGAGGCAAAGGATCCCATTTCCTTGTACTCGTGAAGAATCCATTCTTTGAACAGGTGCAATAGCATCATTTGCTGAAAGTGAAACATCTGGGTTCTGTTCCTCGGGGCGTATAACTTCTAAAAAATTAAACACTGTGGCATGTGTAGATATGGAAGGGTGTTATTTTTTAAAAAAGGACAACTATGTGAATATGAATACCTGTACTTGTGAAGCCTTAGCAGGGATGTGGGAGGGAAATGGGCATCTCTTCTGGAAGTGCTGTAACATGAGTGCCCACGCTGCCACTTGTTCCAATGCACTGCGATTTATTTTAACAGGCAGCTCTTCTCCTGTTAGATGACCAAACTAAACAGTTTAGGAAGAGTGTGCAATGCTGGTGCCATTCTGAGGTTTTGGATACAAAAAGCTGGTGTTTGATTTGGATCACCACTAGCCTATCTGTAGAATGTTTTGGATGCAATCACAGAATTGTAGAGATGGAACTGGATGGCTTTAAAAGAAGATTATTAGACCAGTGCATGGAGGACAAGGCTGTCAACAGCTACTAGCCAGGGTGGCTATGTTCTGCTTCCACCACCAGAGGCAGTGTGCCTCAGAATGCTGGTTGCTGGGGATCACAAGGGGGAAGAGAGTGCTCTTGTGCTCATGTCCTGCTTGCAGGCTTCCCACAGGCATCTGGTTGGCCACTGTGAGAACAAGATGCTGGATGAGAGCGCCATTGCCCTGATCCAGGATGCCCTTCTAGGTTTCATGGGGAAACAGGTGGAGAAAGCCACTTTCACTTTCTGCCCTAGCAACACAGCTTAGGGGGCAGTGGTTCTCTTTCCCCATACGTGCTATTACAAGGGATTGATGGTGAGCACAGAGAACAATCATTCTTAATAATCAGCACATGAAGCCCTGTATAACCTTTGCCTAATTGTAGAACTGTATGAGATAGGTCCTCTAACTCTTGACTTGCTCAAGTTGAGCTGGAAATCTGAAATCTAGGGTTGCCGTACGTCCAGAATTAGCAGGGATTCGTTTGTTGAAAATGTTGTATAGGTAAAAAAACATATTCTTTGATATTTTGAAAAAAGAAGAAAGCTCAATAGGTTTGCCAGAAAAAGCTCAACAACTTTTGTGTCTGGTTTTTCACTTTTTTAAAAAATGACAACCCTAAGAAATCTAAAACCAGAACTCTTTGATCTCAAACTTCCCATCTACTAGGCCACACAATTTCCTCAAAACCAGTACATATGCACATCACTGGCTATGATGGGCATGAATGTCATCACATCTTTAATTCAAAAAGGCAAGCTATTTACAGACAAAACTCTCTATGATGGAAGCATTTCCAAAAGGAGAGGTGTGTATAGGTAAGGTCTGTTTTATTACTTTCTCTCTCTTCTTGGTTTCCATGGAGCCATACACATAATGGTAGCACTAACTGTAATATGGCACCATAAAAAATTAGATAAGCATTTAAGAGCATCGTTCAGTTAATGTTTATTTTATATACACAAAGTTTGCTGGCACTTACTCTAATGCTTCCTGCAATAAAGCGAGCCCTGGGCTGCTATATTTTCTCTCCCATGGCCTGTTAGCCGGAGCACTATAAGAGGTAGGTTTTGAATCATGCTGTTCATTTTTGCATCAGCACCATTTTATGCTCCTCTCCCCTTGCATTTTTGGATAAATACTTTCATCTCCTACTTAGAAACAAACAAATGATCCAGATTAAAAACCAGTAAGCTTTGGTGATTGCCAAGAACACAGTTTATACACTTAACATTGCTCCAGAGACTTTGGTTCAGTTCCTGGCATCACTAATAAGGTCAGGGATCTCAAGCAGAGTAATAAGAAATGAGCATTTGGGTTTTATTAGCCTTACCATGACATTATTTCTTCTGGCAGCTGTTCCAGGGAGAAGGAATTAAGGAAGCAGATCCGTGCAGTGAATATGGCTAACCCTACAGGGGAGAGAGCAGATTGGAACTGACACTGCTTATTTAGGCAGGCAGGAGGTCAGAGTGCTACCCCTACCATCGCTTCTTCAACTTTACCAAGTCATCACAAATACCACCTAATGCAAAATGGTAAGAAGAATGGAAATTTGAATTTTAGGACTTTCCTGCCCCCGTCAGTGTGATATTAAATAAAATACTGACTAGTTGCAGTAGCAAAGGTGCCATGGCTAGGTTAACTGAAAACCCCCAAGAAAACCTTATCTAAAGTAAATTATATCTAGCCCAGGGTCTCCAGAGACAATTAAAGATGCTACAAGGAAGAACGTGTGGGGTTTGATTCTGTTTGACATTCAGGGGCCGAAAACCAGATTCCTAGAATTTATACCTGACTCAGCTAACCCAGAAAATGAATTCTCCTTGCTTGCCAATGTTGGGAATCCCTATGTCCTCTAGCACCTAAAGAATATGGATGTTAAGGCTTTGCTATCTAAATGTTTACTGCCTGTCCCCTTAGACAAATGCTGCAACCAGAACATGAGACATGGCACATCCATCTGATTTTTGTCAAAGGCAAGTGGAAATTTGTTAGCTAATTACAAATCTCCTAGTGGCTAATTCTCCAGCATATCAAAAGACAATGTAGGCTTCTATACAAAAACGAATAGGATAGTATTGTCAGAATGGTCACCACCAGTTCTGCGGTCAGATGCTTAGGGAACATTTGCATATCATAACCTAGCTTCTGGTCCCTAGGATGTAGAGTTCAAAGGTGAACAGCGTTCATTTAATATCCTGGCTCTGGTTCAACATCACCATAATATTCTGTAAGTTCTTAATGTTCAGGAAAAGGGTTAAGTTGTTGATTAGGTATTTTGAGTTGCACTGCTAGCTCACAATATCACTAAACAAGCATTTTACTGGACCCTTAACCCTAGAATGCTTTCCTTGCTATCTGAACATGATCAAGTATTCCAGCAAGTGTAAATAAACGGTATATCATAAAGACACCACAGTCTCTACTGTGCCTCATTTCCAAAAGGAAATACGAACCTTGAGTAAGAACCTGGAGCCCTGGAATCTGCTGTGGGGATTGGGGTGGCATGTAACAATATGAAGGGGGAAATGTTTCTTTTTATCTGCTAAGAACAAGAGCTTTGCTTTATACATCCTAAACCTAATATCATAATCCAGAATTAAGTCCTATTGAAATTAATGAAGCTGGGCTTCCAAAATGATTATTTTAGTTAGTCATTAACTATTAGAAATGTAATTTTATTTTATACTATATATTTTTAATTGCTGAATTTATTTACATTTTATATAAAAAGGCTAACTTGTTTTAAACCCACCTGCCAATAATTTTCATGTATATTTTATTTCATGTTAAGTTTTTATTATTAAGTGGTATATAAATTCCATTAAATAAAATAAACCACCATGCTTATAACCTTGAGTCCGGGAAACTAATTTGTAATATAAAACCCCCAGTTTATTAATAAAAAAATGTTTTTTACGCTGTCCCCTAGCTTGATTAGCCTGATATTTAGGTGTGAATATTTCCTGACTAATGCCTGTTTAGGGACTTCAATTTAAGAAGGTATTTGAACTTGCTTTGGATCACTGTGAAATTTAAGGAAATTGTGTCTTTAACTGTATGCCTTCATTCCCTCTGGCACCACTAGACTTTATATCCTAATTCTGGAGCTACTTCAATGATTTTAATCAGGGCCTGCAATGACTCCAGTCCACTTATCCCTAATTTACCATACTAAATTTCATGCAGCTCCCAAAAAAGAAATGTATTTTCCTGGCTTAATTTCATTCCATGCTTAACTAACATCACTGATTAGATTTCTGGGCAGTTGCAGCATAATGAATACTGATACGCCACATATCTTTAATAATATTTAAGCTTATTGAGTAATAGAAAATGAACAGTCACTATGAATCATTGCGATGGCAAAGGAGTCATAAAAACGGCTTCGTATTTGAATACCTTTCCCCCCCTTAACAGGGTATTGTGAAGTACTGCAGTGGGTTGGCAGCTAGTGGTTGGTCAGCTAAATTTAGTGATAGACCTTCAAGCAAGGGCGGGGGGAGGGAGGACTTTTCAAGCATATCCATCCTTTCCCACCACCTCCTCTTTTTGGCTTTTTTTTTTGGACAGACACTTCCACCTAGATGCCTTTAAGAGGGTACCTTGAGATTGTACCTGCTTGAGGTTGAGGTGGTGCACCAATTCACCCAGAACCCTTGACTGAACTAAGGATTCCACCCAGTGCCTTATCTGCCACCCAAGATGGCTTCCAAACCCACCTGCAACCAATCCTTTATGCCCCCATACACATCAAGCAACCGGCTCTCATTTCCAGCAGGAGGCAAATGTATACCATCAAAAACTCAGTTACACATTCTGGTGCATTAAAAAAAGGGCTAGATTTCTCATTATGGATTTGTAATTCAGCTCTCCCAAGTGAACTATTGGTAAGAATCATAATTCATCTTTCCGAAGTAAACTATTCATTCACTTAACTGGAAGAAATTAGCCATGTATTCTGCACCAACACTTCTAGGTTAATTTGCCTTGCATGCGTGGTGATCAGAAAGAAAGAGAGAAAGAAAATGGGGAGTCAAGCAAAAGTAGCTACTTATCCCTATTTAGAGGGAGAGTGAAAAGGTAACACTTGCAGAAACCATTGTAGAATAATAGTTCCATCTGAATCACACATCGGTCTAACACGGTTTCTCAACCTTATCTAGGGACAATGCCTACTTTCTTCTGAAATACTTCTTCTCACAATCATAAATCTATTCATACATTCATCTCATTCTCATAGCATAGCAACAATCATTCCAGGTGAATTTGTGCAAATGTATGCATGTACACCATTAGAATGACTAAAATTATGCCATTAATATCAAAGTAATTTCCTTCTTCAAAATGCAACATGTTTACCCTTTGAAAATCACTGGGGGATTAGCCAGCTCCCATGCTAAGTGGGGAGGCTGGAGGGAGGAGTCTGGAGGCCAGAACCAGGGGAAATAATTGTTGAGTGCAGCAGCAGGTGGCATGGCAGACTCCTACCTGACCTGTTAGCAGGTGAAACGCTGCTTACGAGGGCAAGGAGGGAGAGGGGTAAGGCAGCAGGGTGGGCGGTATGTTGCAAATGTGTAGAGCAGGTAAAATGGAATTGTGTACTGGGGGGAAATGCACTAAAAGGCTGATGAACGTTAATGAGAACTTTTTAAAATTCACAAAATGTGGGGAACTGAAGTTAAGAATGAAGAATTGAGAAATGGAGAGAAATAGAAATTGACAATGACTGGACAATGTAAAACAACTGTTTTTCGTAGGTTTCAAGTCTCAGCCTCAGCTTCTGGAGGTTTAGAGCTGTGCCATAAATCTTCCTGGAGAATTGCTGAGAGTCCAGGCTGCTGAAGGACTTAAAGCTCCAAAGGGTGTATTCTGACAACTGACCATTTAAGGGAAGACTAGGTTAAAAAGGCAAATGAATACTACATAAACTTTTTATGAATTCTATTTTAAAGCACACACCTATAATCTGCATGCTTGACAGCACAAAGCTATGTTCTGTGAACTATTTGAAAATAATAAACATTTAAAGAAAGAAATCTCAGCACTCGTGAAGCATTGCTAGATTAAAAAATGTATAATTCAAAAGTGTCGTATAATGTTATCCAAACTCTTATTATTTTGTTTCGCTTCATTTCTGTGAACTCACCATCTGAGAAATTGAGTGCATAAACCAGTTGGGTCTTTCATACTGAGAGCCCACAGCAAGAGTGTATGTCCATTATAAGCCCTCCATTCCTGCTGCTATAAGCAGCCCGTAGATTTGGTCAATGCTTTCATTTCAGTGCTCCACAGGCTACTAAGCAAGCACTGCAGTTCTTCCTATGCAAGCAGATTTTCCATTGTATGCTACTAATAGACAAAAATCTCCATCTTGTCCAGAACCATTGACATGTGCTGTACACAGCTAGGCACAGTGACGGCTCAAATTTAAAAGCAATGAAAGAAAGAACTTCTAAAAAAAAGGAAGTTGCAGATATCCCTGAAGACTGTAATATTGATGTGACAAACAGCAGTACGTGGAATATCAAATGACTGTAGTATTTCCACTTTTTGCAAACCAGGTGCATGATTATCAACCCCCATCATATCCCTGCTTAATCACCATTTCCCCCCAAATTAAAAATGCATTAGCCTTTCACTGTAGGGAAGACTTTTCATTCTCTCAATCATTTTGGCTTTCACTTTGCAACATTTTTTTTACAGCTCTACAATATTTGTATGAGATGGGTTGACCAGAGCTGTATATGGGATTCCACATATAGCCACACCATAAATACAAATAAAGGTAATGCAATGCAGTGATCAGGACTAAGTACTTGATTACTTTAACTTCAGCTACAAACTACTACCTAAAATGTACTTTTGTTAAAATGTACTTTAATAACTGTTTTTGTGAGCTTGTCAAGTCACCAATTATTATATGACTGCTCCCCGCAAACCCTCCTATACCAGTGAGATATGGAGTTCAAATTTCTAATAATTCTGATCAAATTAAATAACTTCAGATGACACTAGCAGATGAGCCAAGCAACATCCCAAATAAGTAAAAAATATGAATAGGCGACTATACCACTGAGAGGATGTTTGGGAAGATATCGGTCCTACTTGTTGTTTATATTGTTGTGAGTTTGGGGGTTAGTCTGTATGTTCCCTAATTCCTGGGGTCCTGAATCTTGCAAGGGTTAAAATCTAATGGATTATTCCATTGTTGAATTAGCCAGGCAATGGTTGTAAGTACCACCTAAGTTTGGTCGTTTGTATAAGAAAGGAAGTTGCTCTGTGCCAGAGGGAAAGGAACCCTTGGAATCTCACACTGCTCAGAGATTGGGATGGTGAAAAGGAGGTTGCACTCCAAAATAATATCTCCTAACTGGGTGAATAGATATTAAAATGGCAAATGCGATTCTGTGTAAGCAAGTGTAAACTGATGCCAAATTGGGAAGAAAAATCTTAACTTCACAAATGCGTTTACAGGATCTGAACTGGCGATTACGATGTTTGTCCCTTTTTAGCTCCAAAAACTAAAAGACAGGCAAGCAGACACATGTTAGAGGTGTATAAAATGATGCACGTTTGGAGAAAATGGATAGAGAGAGGTTTTTCTCTCTCAGTTGTAATGCTGGGATCGAGGGTCATTCAACGAAGCTGAATGCTGGAAAACTCAGGATGGAGAAAAGGAAGTAGTTCCTCACACAGAACATTGTTAAAGGACTAGGAATAGTCACCAACTTGGATGACTTTAAAAAGGAATTGGAGGATAAGGCCATCAATTGCTACTAACCAAGATGATGATAGGGACACGGGTGGCACTGTTGTCTAAACCACGGAGCCTCTTGGGCTTGCCAATCAGAAGGTTGGCGGTTCAAATCCCCGCGATGGAGTGAGCTCCCGTTGTTTGGTCCCAGCTCCTGCCAACCTAGTAGTTCAACAGCATGTCAAAGTGCAAGTAGATAAATAGGTTCTGCTCCGGCGGGAAGCTAAGTGGCATTTCCATGTGCTGCTCTGGTTTTGCCAGAAGCGGCTTAGTCATGCGAGCCACATGACCTGGAAAAACTGTCTGCGGACAAATGCTGGCTCCCTCACCCTGTAAAGCGAGATGAACGCCTCAACCCCAGAGTCGTCTGCAACTGGACTTAACTTTCAGGGGTCCTTTACCTTTTTAAGATGATGATATGCCTCTGAATATCAGCTGCAAAGAAGCTCAGGCAGAGAGAGCGCTGTTGTGCTCATCTCCTGCATCGGGAGCTTCTGATAACATGGGCAGCTGGTTGGCCACTGTGGTGAGCCTTTGATCTGATCCCACAGGGCTCTTCTAAAAACTTCATTTATCTTTATATTTCTGCTAGCTGCAAGCCTAAGCATAATGCTTCCCACAGATTCAGAGCAAAAGCGTTGCTCAGGTCAGGCTCTCTTTGGTCATGTCAAATGTTTTGCTCAGCTCAGGCCAGCTTGAGTAGGCCTTCAATAAGGGCAACAAATGAGAACTATGAGCACGGGAGCTAGATGGTCCTAACTGCACCAAATATCCACAGACAAACTCCAGAATTGCTTTTCCATGTCAGAGCTCAGCAATGCAATTATTAAAGTATTTTAGAACATGCAAATGGCATACCCTCTCAAGACCTGCAACATCTTTCATCAAAGCAACTCAACATTTAGCCATTCATTAAAAAGTGAGGGACCTGTCTCTGCTTTCATTTTTAATACTGATGTCAACATGAATCAGTAAGTCAACAAAACAGCCCACACCAGCTGTCTTTCTGAGCCGAACTGAACAGAACTGCAAGGGGGAGGAGTCTTTCTGAACCAGATGCTCCTCAGCTCCTGTTATCTTTCCCTCAGAGAACTGCAAGCTTTTGATATTGGCCGCAGTCTGCTTTCACTACAGTTCAAGTGGAACCCGTTTCTTTAAATAAGCATGGTTTTTACATTACCTGTAGTGAGGTGTGAAAAAGAGACTCTCGTGCTTGCGCAACTCCTTTAAACTTTTAATTGATTTGTTGCTAATACCTCAATGCTTCCTTGCTTTCCTGTTAGGGTTGGTTCACAAGTTACCTCTAAATCTATGCTTGTGTTGTAGACAGAGGCAGTGGGGTTTGTGTGTGTGTAAAGATGTTACTTCTCCACGAATGGCATGCTTGGATGACTTTAGAAGAATCAGAACTGTGTGCCTAAGCATTCATGCAGTCGGGAGGATAAGCAAAGCAGATGTCGCACTGCCCTCTGCTCAGTCTAGTCTGTTTGAAATTGCCTCATGGGAGAATGGTGTCAACCGTGCCTCTTGAAAACTCAAAGAAATGAGCTCTTTGGAACAACTCCAAGCTTAGAATGAGACAGCACAGTAGAAACATTAACTCATACAGAGTCTCAAATCTCCATGAAATATAAGACATAACAAGTGCTTAAAAGGTGATGGTGGTGGGAATGTACTAGCACATTGTTTCCTGAATGTCAAGGCACTTGCCTCCTACAGATTTAACCCTTGAAATTTACAAATAGGAATTTGAAAGCAGGGTAAGAGAGCTTCCATATGGGTAGTGCTTAGGCCAACCCTAATTCTTAATCAGGCCATGCAGCAGATGTGGGAATCTGCAGGCTATGGATGAACTGTGCAGTCCATGCAGGGAGAACAGCAAACTGGCACAACATCTTTTGCCACATTGTAATACTTTGCAGTAGTGCTAATTTCTATGGGGAATCTCACGCATTACAGGAAAGCCAACTGGAGTTTGCCAGCAAGTGTCTACTTCACAGACCTGTTATAGATGTGTGACACCTTATGGTCAATTTATACATTGCATATTACTTAAGAGCACCCTTAAAACATCTTAGGTGTCCACCTAAAAAAAAAGGGACTGTGTGAAGTGGCCCTGCAATTTGGGGTATATGCTAAATGCGAGAGATGAGTCATTCAAATCTGATTGTGGCATTCATGCATTGTGATTTGGCTCTGATATGCATGAATATCTGTTCAAATGAGCAGTCTATGTGTGAAAGAATTAAGCATCATAATGTCAAAGAAGCATACTGTAAAGAGTATGGGTTGCTCGTGCGTAAGTTGCCGCCTCTCCTGGTTTTGTTGCCTTGTTAAACCTTTCAGTCTGGACAGCCCTTCACTTTGTGGCTGCCTCAGTCGCTAGCAGAATCCGTCAGTGGGCGTTTCTTAAACCTTTTCCAACATAAAAGTTGTTTGACACCCAGTCTCCTCCTACTCTCTCTGCGCGGAAGTCTTCTGCACAGGGAGGGCGTGGGTAGCGGAGGACCCGTGCTCTCCCTGCTGGTGTCCGGTGAAGAGTCTGGGAGCCCTCTCGCCGATTCCCCCATCTGCCCCTCTTTATTCCTGGTGTTGCGCTGAATTGCTTCCCCATCTGCTGAGCTGCCTCTCTCCCTGCTGGGCCCTTCTCCAGCATCATTTGAGAGCCTTCCCTCCGCCTCTAGCTCCAATGTCAGTTCCCTGACACATACTAATGAAAGATGCAGCAGCAGCCAATGGCTGCCTTGCCACTACAGTCGGAGGAAATAATGTTTCTGAATACCACTTGCTGGAAACCAAAGGGAGGGAGAGTGCACTTGTCTTGGGGTCCTTCTTAAGGCATCTATTTGGCCACTGTGAGAACAGGATGCTGGACTAGATGGGTCGCTGCCCTAATCCAACAGGTTATTCCTATGCAGTGCATGCTGGAGTTATGGATATGCCTATTCATAGAAGCTCCTATTGAAAGGTGTGGAATCCTTTGGCCCTCCCAATGTTGCAGGACTATTACTTTCATCACCCTTAACCAATTGCCATACTAGCTGGGGATGATGGGAGATGGAGTCCAACAACATCACAGGGTCATAGGTTTCCCATTCCAATACATCATTTAGAACATACTGCTCATATTCATAGACCACCAGCATAATCTGACATTTGTAATTGGCTCTAAACACTGAAAATAATAACCACAGCAAAATTTTACACCCCCCCCCCAAAAAAAGTTGCTGGGTGGTAATTGTTCAGTAAGAATTCAAAGAATATTGTACTCAACATTGTAGTATTAGAAGTAACAGAACAAAAGGTGGAGCCTGCCAACAATGCCTGAAGATGGTCAGAATGGTGGCAAAGTGGCAAGAACTATCAAGAGGGTTACTGAAAGACAGTGAAAAGAAGAAAAATTGCAATGCCTGCTGGACTTGAATGACCTATGGTTGAGTGATTGACAGATGCCTGTGCACAGCGGAATCAGAAGCAGAGACCATTTGGCACCGCAAGGCGTGTATCATTTGCCACCAGAATATAATGTGGCACCCAGAAATAACACTCAGGGAGATAAGTATCTTCAACAAGTCAGTTTGTTGCCCAACTGCCTGTGAAAAACTGATGTGTAGATGCCAACTTTCCAATCCTAGGAAGAAGGAAAAATAATGTTTTGCTGCACCCCAGTCTATTTCCCTCAAGGACAAAATAGGTGTGATGTTAATGGCACAGAAGCTGCTGAAGTGGGAGAATTGCTGGGACCACATTGCACTGGAAGGTTCCTTTCTCCTGCCTACTGCCTGCCTAAAGTTGTAGTTAGTCCCAGCAGGGAAGCGCTCATTAAATCCAGTGAAAATTTGTATTTCAACATGACTCTCAATATGGGCTAAGAAATGATGTTGAAATCTCATAACAGATTTCAGGTTGATTTACTAAAATCCGTTGTGATGCCCATCTTGAAGAAGAGCCTGATGGATCAAGTGGTCCAATCAAGTGGTTGACAAGATGCCTATGGGAAGCCTAGAAGCAGGACCTGGGTGTTTCCCCATTTGGGATTCCCAGCAGCTGTTATTGGCTGGAGGATGGAAAGATGAGTGTACTTGTGGTCGTGAAATCTCTGGCTTTTGTGTGGATACAGACTTCTGGACAATTGTGACTCCACCCAGCCTTAATGCAGGTAATCAACTCCAATTTCTTTATGGAAGTGGGTGGCAGCCACTATCTTGAACTCTGAATATTGAAAATTGACTATAATCATCATATTCTCTGATTGATCACTTGGAGTTCACAATCAGGGAAGACTTTTGTCCCCTATGGCAAAATCTGTAGAGCCAGCACTGGCTGGAGCCAGGGGTTGTTATCACATGAAGACCTTCTAACAAAACACCATAATATTCCCCAAAAAGACCTGCCAACAGGATGTTGAATAAAATATGCAACAAGGTTGATGTGCCTACATTTATATGCAGTTTGCTGATTGTTTCTAACCATTTCAGTGGTCCCATCTACACCACATATTTAAAGCACTCTTATGCCACTTTAAGTGCCATGATGACTCTCCCCAATAAATCCTGGGAACTGTAGTTTGTTAAAGTTGCTTGGAATTATAGCTCACAGGATCTCTTAACAATCCTCAGCACTCTTAAGAAACTAGAGCTCCTGGGATTCTTTGGGGAAAACATCATGGCAATTAAAGTGGTATAAAAGTGCTGTAAATGTATGTTGTGGATGCAACCAATGCTATCATCATAAAGATTTCAAGGGTAGCAGTAGCATCATTAAAATATTTACATGTTAAGAGAGCATATCATTAGATTCCATGTAAACCCTCACCACCACTCCCAGTCAGATCATGGGAAAAATAGTTTTTGTTTTGGTCTTGTTCCTTTCCCCAGACCCTCCCCTCTCCACCACAGCCTGTAAGTACCCCCTAAAACCAGGAATTTAACCTTCCCGTAGCAGACCGCACACCTCATCACCCTGCTTATAACTGTCAGTTGGGGCAATAAACCCTTGATTTAGATAGATGTGCCTCATTAAAATGCAGAATCAGTTCAGCACACTCTGCTCTACATCTGCATGGTATTACACGCTTCATATATTGATAATGAAATATATACTACTGAATATCAAAGCCTTGTTCTGAAGTGCTGGTGGATTAAATCAAATCCATTCATTTAGTAGGATTGCTGTCCAAAAACAAAGCAAACAAACAAAAACTGTTATGCTTTGGGGCTTTCATTGATTCCTGCAAACTCACTAAAACAAAATATTTAAGCAATATATACACAGGTAAACCCATACATAATTTTAATAGTATTGTTCATAAACACAACATGACATTCTTCCAACTATTTGCATTTAAACTGCCTCATCTCACTCAAAAAAAGCTACTCCTTTTGTAATCTCTGGAAGCCAGAGAGTAAACAGGAGACGATGTTATATAAATTAGGGTTTCTCAACAAATGGACAAAAGGCTTTGTGGCATGTAAAGAGGCAGGTATATTGAGACTCTGTGGCATGGGTATTAAGAGGCAGCAGCCTCCTTCATTTGAAATCCTCTTATCATGGGAAGCTGCCTTATACGTTGTCAGACTATTTGTCCACCATCCATCCCATCTTAGGCAGAGGTCTTTCACATTACTTGCTACCTGATTGATTATTTTACCTGGATAAATTAAACCTGGGGCTGTCTGCATGCAAAGAAGCTCCTCTACTACTGTGCTATGATCAACCCCCCTTGTATTTCATCATATATTTCTGTCTTGTGAGGTGATGTGCTAGGCGCTTGCATCTTAAACATTCTGCAGCAACAAACTAGTTAGGGCAGGGGTAGATGACCTAGGGTCCTCCAGACATTGTTGGATTACAACTCCCATCATCAACGATCACTTGATGTGCTGGCAAAGGCCGAAGGGAGCTAGAGTCAAGCAACATCTGAAGGACACCATGTTGGCTATGGCATCAACTCCAGGCAAGTTGCCAATAGCTTGACCAGTATAGGACCCAGGGGTTCTTTGGCTAGCCCAGCTTCCCT